GCCAGCGGGGTCACCTTGGTGTTTGGGAGACACAGAGAGAAACTGTTCCTGGTGGGTGATGGGGAGGTCAGAGGGAGTGTGAGAAGAAGTGGGCAGGCCAGCCTTGCAGGGCATGGAGGGTGGGCTTTTTTCAGTGCTCTGGGAAGATGCTACAATGGGCTTAAGCAGAAAATTGAAACTCATTGGTTTGTTTTAAAGGATGCTCCTGTCCGCTTCCTGTCCAGGGAAATGGAGTTATTTGCCCAGCTCTGTGTCACCCGTATAGGTCCCCAGAGAAGAAGAATCCTCCCAGGCTGGGTGTCCATGCTGGCCCCAACTGCAGGGCTTCCTCGGCTTGGCTGCTGTGGCTTTCCCACATGTGCTGTCATACCTCTTTACCCTTTGGTTGGGGTGGCAGTGACACAGGAGCAAGAACATTTTAAGGAACAAATTACAGATGGAAACAGGTGGTGCTGATACCAGAAGCCCTGGGTTTGGGCAGCCAAATTGGAAAATGGAACCACTCAACAGAGCTATGGTTGTTCTTAGCTTCCTTAACAACCACGGAGTGGAATGAAAAACCGGAGACGTTCCAGGCAAGTTCTGTTTGGAGGGAAAATGACATAAATTGTATTCAATTGCCATATGGAGCAGACGACAAGGCTCTCTCTGGTGACTAGCAAAACTAACATGGTGTTAGGGCACTCACCATTTCTCACACTGCAGTGGGAGTTGGAAGCTCAGGGAAGGAGCAGTGTTCAACACAGGTGGCTGGCCACCCCCAGCACCTGTGACAAAGTGTGTCTGGGGTGGGCTCTCTAATGTGCATTTCTACAAATACACAGGTGATGTGGGTACTGCTGCTTTGGGGACCCCAGTCATAGGCCCTGTGCTGGAGGACATAGCCCCTTCCTGTTTTGGAGGTCTGAGAGTGTCACCCACAGGTCACTGTCAGTCCCTTGGTGCGCAGGTGGGCAGTGCCCTCACGAAAACCCTGCCTGGCACGATGAGCAGCTCCTTCCCACTGCTGCTCCTTCTCTGGTCCCTCCTCACTGTGTGCCCAAATTGCCCAGCCAGGGGACCTACAGTGTGCTGCTGGCAGCAGGCCCACTTGGCCCCCAGGCTGCCAAGGAAATGTGACAAAGGCAGCCAGAGCTCTGAACGCTTGGTGAGGCACAGCCAGAGCTGGCCAGAGACAAAATTTCCAGACGATTGGCCGCACTGTTCCCTCCCCAGCTAGGTGTCTCCCTAAACACTGTGCAGACTTTGCCTCTAAGATGTTCCCTAAGCATGAGTTTCCAAAAGATGGGGAGACTTGGTTACATGTCTTTAAAGCCTGTGTTCTGTGGCTGTCATATTTTCGTCTGGCTTGTGAGGCTCAGCACGGGGTGGCAGGGAGACCCTGCCCTGTGTTTGGCTGAGCCCTGTCAGAGTGTGGTTGCCACCCAGCAGGTGACAAAATGCTCTAGCTGTGGTCAGGCTCTGACACCTGCTCCTGGATGTCAGTGCCCTTATCACATGTCCAGGGGAAATGCCTCCTGACAGGCTTATTAGAGAACATTATTTAGAGCAGCAGTTCTCAACCTGTGGGTCGCAACCCCTTTGGACCGTATTAAAGGTTTGCAGCATCAAGAAGGTTGAGAATCACTGATTTAGAGTATGAAGCTTTTAAAAAAAATTAATTCATAGTTTGAACTGTAGTAAAAGACACATAACATGAAATTTACTATGTTAGGCGCTTTCAAGTGTACAGTTCAGTATTGTTAATTATGTTTGGTTGTAGTCTAACCAATCTCTACAACTTTTTTATTTTGCAAAACTGAAACTCTGTACCCTTGAACAACTCCCAATTGTCACTTTCTCTCAACCCTTGGAGCATGAAGCTTCTACCCCATCTCACAACCCATCTCACACCTCTTTCTTTGTATTTGTTCCAAGGGAAATGACAGAGCTTTGCCATAACAGCATATGGAGCACCCATGGTTCTGAACTGTCATCAGCCCTGCTAGGAGAAAAAGGGCAGTTTGAACAGGGGACTTGTTCCTGTAGTTTTGTTCTTCCTGACACTTGCCGCACTCCATGCAGATCTGAACTTACCATGTTACCGCGTCATTTCTTCATCGTGTTCTTCACTGGCTTTGGTTGTGGCTGGAGTCAGTGTTACAGGCAGTGTTTAGACTGAAACCAAACATTGTGCAACCTGAATTTTCTTGCTCATGATTTCAAGTTTTCATTCTTCTTAATTTTCATGTGTTGAACCAAAGTTTACCAGTTTGGGTCCAATCCTAAATGCTGGATATTTCTGGAAACATTTGAATTACAGCCATCGGGCAGTTCAAAAAATATCAAAAAAAAAAAAAAGGAAAATTGTGAGGTTTCCCTTTTTCCTCCCAGGCTTAGGTAATGAATATGTGACTTTAGAACTGCCTTGTGGATTGTGCAGTATAAAACAAAAATGACAACTAGTTTGTTTGAAATTTGGGGTAAAATAAAATAAGACCAGAGCAACCAAATGTGTTCTGTTTTTCCTGGGAAAGAATATTAGAAAGATAAATTTTATTTAAAGAATAAAAGAGATTTTACTTAAAGGTAGGTTTTATTTAAAGAATAGTTTTCAAAGAGCAAAATTCAAAGAGCAGAGACACAGCCAGTTCCTTTATCATGGACATGCTCAAACACCCCATGTTTGGCTTCTGCTGTGTGTGGCTGGGAGTGATGGTGTTGACCAGCTCGGCTTGGCCTGCGTTGACCTAAGCTGTGGAACTCACATGCTGTATTGATAGCATGAATAGAAAGTTTTAAATGCCCTGCTCACATTTTCTCCCTTCTTGGCTATGTCTATGAGAAAAGAACAAGGCGAGTATTCAAAAAGTTCCCGTGGCTGTGCCTTCCATGCATTGTGCGTATTACCACCTTCATTGCCCTCCGCAGGTCCCTCCCTGCATCCTGCTTTTGCCAAATTATGGAAAAGGGGGCTCAACAGGGTCATAATGACCGGTGGGCTTCTTTCCATCCATGTCAACTACTCTGATCCTTTGCCTTATTTGAGGTTGCCTTCCTCTTCTTGAAACACTTTATTTGATTTGATGTTGAGGTCCTTATGATTAAATTCTGCCAACAGGGGTGCAAAATTGAGAAGGACGTGTCCTTTTCTGTTACTTTAGCCATTTTCAAGAACAGACTTTGGTTAAAATGAGGGTTTGGGGGGAGAAAGAAGGAATGTGGACTTGTAGCTGGATAAGGCTGAGTTTGCACTATGTCATCATTGACTGGCTGTGGGTCTGAGCAGGCGGCTCTACCTCCATGAACCTGTTTCCCAGCTGAGAGTGATGGAGGCACCAACTTTGGTGGGCTGTGGCGAAGGTTAGAGATGACACAGCCGGTGCACAACAGGCATCCCCCTTCCCATCCCCTTGCTCAGGGTCCCCGGAGTCTCCTGCATGAAAGCCCAGAATGAGAGTTTTGTCTTTTCTGCCAGAATCATCTAATGTTCTTTTTTTTTTCAAAACCACCAGTCCTAATATATTTTTTTAACTCACTGATTTCTAACTTAGCTTTCTGTGTAGGCAGGCACATGTGTGTGTGTGATTTTAGATGAATATTTTGGGTAATCCATTTTTTTTTTTTTTTTAGACAGAGTCTCACTATGTCACCCTTGGTAGAGTGCTGTGGCGTCACAGCTCACAGCAACCTCAAACTCTTGAGCTTAAGTGATTCTCTTACCTCAGCCTCCCAAGTAGCTGGGACTACAGGCACCTGCCACTACACCCAGCTATTTTTTGGTTGCTGATGTCATTGTTGTTTAGCAGGCCTGGGCCAGGCTCGAACCCGCCAGCTTTGGTGTATATGGCCAGTGCCCTACTCACTGAGCTACAGGCACTAAGCCTGGGTAATCCATTTTTAAGGGAGCTTTTTGGTTCCCTCAGAAAACTTTTTCAATAAAATCTGGGTTATGTTCCGCACATATGTATTTTTTTAAATTCCAACAAGGCTATATATGGACACTGAAATTTAAATTCCATATAATTCTTTCATTTTATTTTCCTCCTGGGAGCACATGGCTGTATTTTTAATATTAGTTTCTAATTAATATGATTTTTATGAATAGAATTTGTATTTTAGAATAGTTTTAGATTTATAGAAAAATTAATCAGATGATACAGAGAACTCTTATGTACAGTTTCCCCTATTCCTCTATACTTTGATATATATAATGCACCCTTTTTGCCCAAATTTTGAGTGAAAAATAAGGATGTTCATTAAAATAGTATGGCTTGAGAGAGAGGTAGCCTAGGGGGCCTCCAGGGGCCACTGCCCCCTCCTGCCTGGGTCTGTGGGGTTCCAGTGTGGGAGGACCCAGGATTTGTGGACCAGAGCAGCCTCTGCTGAGTACCGCAATTGGGAGGGGGCAGTGGAGGGGCACTCAAGGTGGCTGATGGCAAAGGGAGCCAATTAGCCTTAGAAACTTCCTCCCTGCCAGCCAGGAATGTGATTATCTCAGCTGTGGCCCTGACATGCCAGGGAGGAAAGGGCTCCCAGGAGAGAGGGAAGGAGCAGCCTTCATGTTCACAGAGCCAGTGGCTGTGGGCAGGGGTGGGGTGGGGGGGGTGGTGTGATCTGCATGTCTACCAGGGAAGCCTTAGCCCTGCCCAGACTGGCCAAGAGCTGGCCCCTTTGTCAAGGAGCATTTTCCTAAAAGTTTGGGCCAAAAACGTGGCTGCACATTATATACAGGAGCACATTTTATGTGACAAAATATGTTATTAATATCTCACAATGGTAAATATTTGTTATAATTGTGAATTGTAAATACATTATTATAAATGTATAATAATGTATGCTATCGATACCTTATTATAAACTAAAGTGTATACTTCAGTCACACATTTTGTACACATTTCATTCACATTTCTTTAGTGTTTATTTAATATTTTTTTCTGTTCTAAGTTCTCATCTAGGATACTACTGTATTTTTATTTTTATTTTTATATCCTCATGTATTTATTTTTCTCTTTTGATAGGTATACAATATGTTCCAGCACCAGAGCCTTGGAATTAAAATTAACATTCAGGTTACCAAGCTTGTCCTGCTGCGCCAGCGTCCTGTAAGTCCCCGTCCACCCCTCTCAGAGCATGCACTTCTCAGTTCAGCCCCTTCCTGGCTTTACAGACTCCATCAGTGTGGGAGGAGGGCAGGTGTCACTACTGAAGCAGGGCCTGTGCCTGGGCTCTTGTCTCACAGGGCCCTAAGCAGTGGGTGCATGCACATCCCCCACTCCACTCCCAGAGGTCACATACTTGGCTTTCAGACATAGCTTGATGGTGAGGTCTTTGGAATCACGGCCTCCCTACTGAAGCTACACTCAACCTTTGACCCCAATTGGATTCCCCATAGCATTATTTTCTGGTCTTTCAGTAGTGCATCTCCACGTGACAGTGTTTCCTGCAGAGTTGAGAATGAATGTGAGATTGCAGGACCAGTGCTTGGTTTAGTGCACTGCTGTATTTAGGAAAAAGAAAGATGCTTTCCTTTAATGGCACCTGTGGTCTTCGTTTTAACTTACAGATAAGGCCCCTGATAGTCTCCTGCTGGGTCTGTACCTGATACCCACTAGGGTCAGGCTTTTGTTTGGGGCAGCAAGTCATTCAATGATATCGCAGCAAGTAACTGGCTCCACCTCAACATCTACACTCTGGCTTCCCTGTGTGTTGGCCTCTCTGACTGACCCTCAATTTCTGCTAGGCCAAGTTATCCATCGGGCACCATGGTGAGAGATCCCTGGAGAGCTTCTGCCACTGGCAGAATGAGGAATATGGTGGGGCACGGTACCTTGGAAACAATCAGGTTCCAGGCGGGAAGGATGATACACCCCCTGTGGACGCTGCTGTGTTTGTGACCAGGTAAAGCTGGATTTGACTTGTGCCTGTAACTGACATGGGAAAGACTTGGGAGTAGGGCATGTTCTTAGGAATTCAGGCTTGGAAGTCAGACATGGGGCTGCCTGTCTGGGCTTATCAGTAAGATATTAATGGTATAATCTTCTACCAAGGCAGGTAAAATGCCCGAGCTCATAGCTGCGTCACATGGCATTCTCCCTATGTGTCTCATGTCTAAATTCTCCTCTTCTCCTAAAGACACCATTAGCTGGCTGAGAGCCCACCTGAATCCAGTGTGACCACATCTTAACCAAATAAGTTCCCATTCCCAAGTAGCAGGGTTAGGGCATGGACTGTGTCTTTTTTACAGGACACAATTCCGAATGTAACAGTTGTAGATGTGGAGTATTTCATCTTTTTCTTATGTCTCTGAGGAGAAACTGGTTTTCTCTGGTGGCTTTATTTTAATAATGTAAATAAAATGTGGTCACACCAAAATCTCCTTTTAGAAAATATATAAAAATGTTTCTTGGTAAATTAGCTGATTAGATTAAAAATACCAGAATTTTATTAGACTTGTTGGGAATATGTCAACTTTGAATTTAAAGCATATTGTTTTTAATTTAAAGAAACCACTTCCTAAATTATATCTTTTCCTTTCCTTTCTCAGTTTAGAAGTAAAGTTGTGGAAGGGAGAGCTTTTATCACAATCTTGAGCCTGAATTCAGCTTGTTTCTCCACAGAAAGATAAATCCCATTTAACATTTGGATTTTGAGTCAAGAAAGGCTCCTTGGTTGTACCTCCTGGGCCATGTGCTATAAACCCCTGGCTGATGATAACCCAGAGCCAGTTGGGGAAGTTCTGGGGCCCTGGCATCAGGCAACGCAGCTCTCTTTTCCTCTTGAAGATCCCAGAACATGCATATTGCCACTACCAGTCACCAAATAGATGCCTAATCACTCTTGTAACTGATGCATTGACTACCACCCCCAGGGCTTAAAATGTGCTGTGTAGCAATCTGATCCCGTCTGAGAGCAGTTGCTGCTTTTACAGGATATTGTTAAATACATGTCTCTAATGGGACATTTTAGAGAAATGCCCTGGAATAATTCTCATTGCCTGTGATATGGCTGGTATACTAGCAGACACCAAGAAAAAAGGGAGCAACATGACCTGGTTCATGCTTTTGAATTGGGCTTTCATACCCTGGTGAATACTGGGGACCTCCAGGTCCACCCTTCCAGTCAGTGTGGCCACCTACCCTTACTGGTCTAATAGCACTTTGCCATGGCATTTGAGCCTGTGGGACTTTTTTAGAGTACCCTGAGGGTCATGGTGTTGAGATTTTAGAGTACCCTGAGGGTCATGGTGTTGAGATTTTAGAGTACCCTGAGGGTCATGGTGTTGAGGGTACCATGCTTGGAGAGTGGATTTGATTTGGGGAGTAAGAAGGTGCCCTTGGGACCATGTTTATGTGTGACCATCAGTTAATGTGACTGATTTTCTAGGTTTGAAGGCCTTTCCTAGAGAAGAGCTCTAAATAACTTCATCTTTTGAGTATATGCAGCTAATATTCCAAGGTTTTTACTTGGACAGTGGTTTTTCTAAAAACTATATAAAAAATCTATAAATTTAAGAGATTTGTTAAAAAATAATGAAAAACTTATGGAAATATTCCCTGTATTGGAAAAAGTTTTCTCTCTTTCCTGATGTTTCTGTTCATTGGGTGGAGAAAGTGTTTGTAAGTGGTCTTGGTTTGGGAATAAATAGCAGGGTTTTTGTTTTTTTTCCAGAGGCAAAAAAATGTCACCATAATTAGTGCTGACAAATTTTCTGGATTAGCCTTTTAGAAAAAGCCATGGGGGCTCGGTGCCTGTGGCTCAAGTGGCTAAGGTGCCAGCCACATACACCTAAGGTGGCAGGTTCGACTCCAGCCTGGGCCTGCCAAACAATGACAGCTGCAACGAAAAAATAGCCGGGCGTTGTGGCAGGTGCCTGTGGTCCCAGCTACTTGGGAGGCTGAAGCAGGAGACTCGCTTGAGCCCAGGAGTTGGAGGTTGCTGTGAGCTGTGATGCCACGACACTCTACCCAGGGGAACAGCTTGAGGCTCTGTCTCAAAAAAAAAAAAAAAAAAAGAAAGAAAGAAAAAAAGCCATGGGCAGATATGAACGCACAAAGATGCCACCAGTTAGAGTTTCTTTTCACTTTCTGGCTTCCAACAGCTTGCTGACCTCAAGCTGGTAATAATTTACACAAAATAAAAAGGAAATATTTTGTGTACACGTTCTTTTTTATACCTCACACCTGTTACAAGGGCCACTATAAAACAAAATAAAAACCAGAAAATGACACGTGTTGGAAGGATATGGAGAAATCGGAACCCTTTTGTACAGCTTTGTTGGGAATGTGAAATGGTATAGCCACTATGGAAAGGAGTGTGATAGCTCCTCAGAAAACTAACAATAGAGTCACCATGTGGTATTTGTACACCCACGTTCACAGCAGCAGTATTCATGAGGGCCAAAAGGTGGGAGCAACCCACTGTCAGTCAGTGGAGGAGTGGGTAAAACAACATAGTATTACTTAGCCTTAAAAAGGAAGGACCCTCTGACACCTGCTACAACGTGGCTGAACCCTGAGAACATTATGTTGAGTGAAATAAGCCAGTCACAAAAGCATGAGCTGCATAATTCCACTTATATGGGGTCCTAGGAATACTCAAGAGCGCACGGACAGAAAATAAAATGACGGGCCAGGCATAGTGGCTTAGGCCTGTAATCCCAGCACTCTGGGGGGCCCAGGTGGGTGGCCTGCTTGAGGTCAGGAGTTTAAGACCAGCCTGAGCAAGAATGAGACCACATCTCTACTAAATATAGAAAAATTAGCCGGATGTTATAATTAGCCTGTAGTCCCAGTACTTGAGAGGTTGAGGCATGAGGATTGCTTGAGCTCAGGAGTTTGAGGTTGCTGTGAGTTATGATGGTGCCACAGCACTTATCCAGGGAGACAGAGGGAGCCTCTTGTTACAAAAAAAAAAAAAAAAAATGAAAGAAAAG